CACCAAAAAAAACAATATGAACATTTGCTGAAAAAATATTTACCCTCAGGCCATGCAAGATGTCGTTTGTTTCTTCATCAGAACAGATTCGGAGAAATTTTAAATTACAACTCTTGCTCACCAATAGTTACCCTGCAGTGAATGGGTGCCATCAGAATGAGAGTCCAAACATAAACATAAACATGATAAAAACATCACAGTTTTTGTTCACAGTAACTGTTTTAGACTGTTTTTGCTTGTAAAAGGTGCTTGTCCTGAGCTGGTTTCTCTCCTAATTCTGACTTTTTCATTGAAGAACACAATATTATGGATAGAGGACTCATATTTTAGGCAGAAGCAATGGTTAAAAACGTCTTAATGATGGATTTGTTTCTTACAAACATGCAGCTTTTCACTTCACAAGACATTAGTTGACGGACTGGAGTCGTGTGGATCACTTGTGGATTATTGTGATGTTTTTATCAGCTGTTTGGACTCTCATTCTGACGGCACCCATTCACTGCAGAGGGGTTGAGCTATTGGTGAGCATGTTATGTAATACTGAATTTATCCAAATATGTTCCAATGAAGAAACAAACTCAAATACATCTTGGATGGCCTGAGGGTAAAATTTTCAGTAAATTTTCAGTAAATTTAAATTTTGGGGTGAACTATTTATGCTGTTCTTTTAAACTTTCTTGAAAATTCAGCCATGCCATCACAAGGATGAATTAACAAGAACCTAATAACAAAAATAAAGAGGGAGATTTTTCACAGTACTACTGTTTTTACTGTATTTTTGATCAAATAAATGCAGCCTTGGTGGGCATAAGACACTTCTTTAAAAAGTAATAAATCTTTCTGACCCCAAACATTTGAACAATAGCGTAAATACGAAAATATTTTATCAAATGTTGAGACACAGCCGAAAAACATACCTTGCAGATGTTAAAACAAAATGTTACACACTCCCCAGTCTCCTTTAACCCACACATACATAAACGCAAGCATACCTCGCACAAAATGCGCACACATACACTTTTTACATCATGCATACAAATCGGCCCCAGACTGACATCATGCCCAGACCCCTGGTGCAGTCAAACACACACACACACACACACACACACACACACACACACGCTCTGAGCCATATCACATAAGCATGAACATTGATATGACCCTGCATGCACTAAATAAATCATTTTTATAAACACATGTATGTATGATATTTTCCAGTTATAAATCCAGTAATCCATAATAATCTAAACAAACATAATAAATGCAAACATAATACCCAAAGACGATACAAATACACTGAAAGCATATATTAATATTTACTGTACACAACATACTCTACAAAAATCAATCCACAGACTGTAATCTACAAATCTACAAATGTCTTAATCCACACATGTTTGCAAAAGTGGTACATACCATGGCCCATAATCTATGAATAATCTACACATTGGCAGCCCTGCTCTCTGTGAACTCCAGCAAACCGCTCCATGTCCTGCTCTTATGCGTGTTTACCCACAGTGCTCTAGTCATACTCTGCTGTGGCTGACGGTGATGTCACAGAGCCAGCGTGCCACAGGCCGCGTGGGATTATTAATATCTGTACTTCACTGGAGTTACGTAAGAACGGGCGCTGGATTATATCGTTACTGTACAGAAAATGGCCATGAAGAAAGCGGTTTGAGGAGGGACAGGAACAGGAGATGCCCTCTCAGGGGTGAACATAATCCCCTCTGATAGCACTGCATCTTAAACGAGTCTGACTAAATGATAATGGAGAAAGAAAGCAGCTGAACAGATGTGCAGTGTAGTACTGCTGAGAGGCCACATGGCTTGCCTGGGACGGGGCAAGGGCTATGAATAGAGTCACTCAATAGCAGTCCATTGGAAAATGAGGATGCAGAAAATCCATCCCCTCCGAGCCTATACAGACAAACCTGCTGGAGCTTCACAAGGGCCATTCCACGAAATATGGAGTTACTTTTGTGCCTTTTTATGCAATCAAACATACCATGTTTGAAAGCAAAACCGATTAAACAATTAACAGTGCAGGCGAGAGCGCATTTCTGCATGTGTGATGAAAACTGCAAAAAGACAAAAAAGATTTAATCCCACTTCAGACAGTTTTGTTCTCAATTACTTTAACAGCTCTAAGAAGCCACCTTTGTGTGTAAACAATGACTGAATAACACAATGAATTACACAAAAATGATTTTTCTTTTTTTTTTTTTCTCATCCCCAGTGCCATTCTCCCAAATTTTCCTGGCAGTATTAACAACATAAAACAGAAAAACTACATTTTAATCTATGTTTGAAATGTTAATGAATTGTTAAATTTCAGTAGAGGACAAATAGTTAAATAGTTAACTATAACTATCCTTTAAACAACTGTTTATAAAACAAGTATTTGTAGAAATATCAACATTACATCTTTCTAAGAAACACCTTGTAATGTCATGAACTGGAGCACAAGACTAGTAATGTCAAAAAGAACTATAAAACTGTCAACCTGGTTGACTTTTTAAGTAATATATACCCTACTGGACAAACGTTTGGGGTCAGTATGATTTTTTAAAAAGTTTTTGGAAGAATTTCTTGAAAGATGCCTTACAGTAAAAACAGTAATATTGTGAAATATTATGACCATTTAAAATAAGTAATTTATTCTTGTGATGACAAAACTGAATTTTCAGCAGCTTTACTCCAGTCTTCAGTGTCACATGATCCTTCAGAAATCATTCCAATATGCTGATTTACTGCTCAAGCAACAAGAAACTTTTAAACGGTAATGTACATCCCAAAACATTATTTTTTAAAAATTCATTAACAATTATCTGACTGATACACAGACCAATAAATCAACTACACAACTGTTTAAAGATGTGTATTACAGAGAAGGAATTTTAATATTTGCACACGACTCTGGCTTCGAATGGAGCCCCACACATGACCTGCGGACCTATTCGTCCCTACGACTTATTCATTCCCTCGTTTTAGTAAAATGTGGCCATGTTTTACTAAAACAAGGGAACGAGTTCTTAATTTGTGGCCATATAGGCTATATTTCCCACATGTCATGTGTGGGGCTCTGTAGTACACCAGAAACTTAAAGTAAAACTTCAATAATCTGGTGACTTTTGGATTTAATTGAAAACCAGCCTCTCTAAAAGTTTCAAAATGCAAATTCTTCATACCTATGCATGCACTCACGTTTTCCTAGTTGTCCTTCTCTGTGGTTTCCAGTACACTGCTGCTCAGCCAAACAATGACTCGCACACAGAATGAGAGGAAAGCACTGACTGTCTCATCACTGTTACAAACACTCTCTCTCCCCTTTCAGCTTCATCTCTTTATTCACTCACCCTAACCAGATCAGGTGAGATTTTCATTTATTTACTTTTCACTGGCTCTCTCTCTCTCTCATGTGTATGTGGATGCTCTCTTACTGTCTCTGAGGCAGGAACATTTCCGTTACATAATGTTTGTGCTTCTGCCCACTCACTCACAGCTCAATAGCAGAGATAGGATGTCCTGAAAGCGTTGTCATGAGGCATTTTTTTCAGCTTTCATCATACAGTGTAAGTGCATGTGGTTTTCACAGACACTATCCAGACTGTTTAATGTGTGTGAGTGTGTTCGAGGTAGATTTTCACAGCTGCTGTGTCCAGGGTAAAATCCCATGAGCATCAATCTATGCACCTGCTTCAGCTTTGTCACACATACTGAGGTTCTCATGGTAACAGTGATGTCATCATTAACAGAGTGGATGGTTGACTTACTGGACAGTGGTTTTTTGGACATTCTGCATTTACCATAGTGCAAAGACCATGTCAATAAATTAATGCAGATGGAATGAAGTTATCTATTATCAAACACTTTTTACTTTTAATTTCTCTCTCTCTCTTACAACAAAGACAAAGAAAAATCTTACGACTCCAAACTTTTGCACGCTATTTTATGTGATAAACATTCACCAATAACAGAAAGAGACAGTATTGAGCAGTAAGCAACTCACATTTATTTTACAATACACTTTGTGAGCATTTGACTATATGGTTACATTCCTGTCAGGCACAGTCATATGTAAGAGACAAAAAAGAACAGCATACAGTGATTAAAACATGCTTTGTAACATTGTTCACAGATCTGACATCATATTGTGTGGAGCCATCTGTCATATCGAACACTGTCAAACCATTGTGTAAAAGCTGAAATGAACTTGTGACTCTTGAATACAAACATTATCATTTCTTTTGTTATAAAATATATCTTAAGTGCACAGTGCTGGATTGTTTTTAACTCCACATTGTCAGTCAACAAGACCTCCCAAGGAACAAAGTACCCAATGTTACATATTGTATCATTACAAAACATTACTCAATTGTGCAAAATTTATTCACCATCATTGAATAAATAAAAAGACAGAAAATTACCTCTGATTGTTGTAGTGAAATGGCAAAGCATGCAAGTCAAAAAGGAAATTCTTTGATCATAAATCAGTGCCATCTTCTACACAATTCACTGGTAACAAATTCAAGAGCAGTTTTTGAGTTATTGTATGCAGCAGGATATTTTAAATTTCAGTCAAAACAAAAACTCAAATTTTCTCTCTTTTTTTCCCCAAAGGCACAGTAATGTTAAAGGGAATAAAGTTTTGCTCTAGGTGGCTAATCACTGTAAACTCCAATGAGGATGATGATAAGAAGAATGATGCTGCACACAGCTACACAAATGGCAACACAAACCAATTTCTATGACAGACAGAACAAAAAAACAACAGAGAAAAATTCACTATGTATGAAATTAATTACTACACGTAAATGTACCCGTTTTTGTTATCAAAGGCATTTCATCACTTTTTTTCTAATTGGTTAGAAGCAAATAAACTGGCATTGATTAAAACATATTTGAATCTTTGAGCCATTAAATCTGTCCCATAAAAAGCTGTCACCACATTCAAACTGGATTTAAATAGAGGCAAAGTGATAGTAGATGAGATAGTTAATGATTGAGTACTGGGTGCTACCTTGGAAACCATGCTTAGACAGGATTGGCTGCATTAGAGCTGGAGGAGGCGGAGTTAGTAGTGGTTTTAACAGACAGGCCCACAGATAATCCAACAATTAGTGCGACCACAGCAAGCACCACCAAAACAATGAGAGCAAGAATGATGTATTTCTGTATAAGACAAAAAGGTTATAATAATTGCATTTTTCAAGAACTTAGTGACGGTTTAAAATTCCATAGACTATTCTTTAGCCTGTAAAGCATATTGTGAAAGGATAAAGCTAAATGTGTTAATCAAAAATTGAAGCATCAATTGAAACATTTGATGTGGAGAAAGTTTATGGTAATATGAATGTGAAAATTTTTAAAAGTGAATTTTGAAAGCTGAAAAGGGCTGCTAACCCGTTACCAACCCTCTATGGCTAGCGACGGGTTAGCATAAGTTAGTGACAGCTCAGACATAATCTGAAACATTAAACAGAGCACAATATTGAGATACTTTTTGTGGCCTTTATTCCAGATTAATAAAAAAAAATTAAAATCACTAAAGACTTCATGAACAAAACCAACAGCCTAATCACAACACTACACATTCCGATTAGAAGCAAAGCTATTATATATTATATTGTGGCTTCTAAAACATCTGTATATTCTAAAATATCTGTAAAACATCTGTTTCTTCTTACCCTGCGGGCCTGTGTCTGGTACCTCACAGCTTTCTTGGTCTCCACTTTAGCTTGGCCGACATACTCTACTGCATTGGTTACATTCTTTTCAATGTTGTCAATCATCTCACCCTGTACAACATAAATGAGTGAGTTAATGAACAAATGCTGTATAGGTTAACTAGTAAGTAAACAAACATCAATAAAGATTACCGATTACTGTATACTATACCTGGGTCTCAACAAGCATGGCAATGTCCACAAACATGTCATGAAGCTCTTTAATGCTGGACTCTAGCCGCAAGATGTCTTTATGTCTAGATTCGATCTCATTAAGGGCCTGACGAGTTATCTGAGAGTCAGAGATGATCTGAAAACAGAGGAGATCTTTTAGCAGCCCCTAGAAACTTAAAGGGGTCAGTTACACCTTCTTTCTTTGTGTCAACATTTGGGCGGCGTTATGCAAATCTTCCCACATAGTGGGCTTTTGTTTGTTGTCTCATACTTTTAGATACGCTGTTATTTGCAAATGCCACTGCTTACGTTAGCTTTTAATATACGGTTTTATCCTGATTCATATATGAATAGATTTTTACGTGCACCTCTAGTTTTCTCTTCCTCTTCTCTAAAGCAGCACCGCATGGCCTCGTCCCCTTTGCTGCCTTTTCCCGAGGGCGGGGTTATCTGAGTTTGTTACGTCACAAACCCGGGAAGTAGCTTGTTGTAGTCCTTACCAGCCGTTTTTGTAGGCATTAAACTGCAAGAATTTTAAAAGACGGTATCTCCGTTTGCATTGA